TAAAGTGTTAACATGACTTTGGAGAAACTTGTAGAAATTTTGCATTTTTGATGCATGTTACACAATTGTACATGCTTATTGTGCTACTGATCTCAGATATCCGAACTTCAGCATTACAAGACACACTTGTTAAGGTATCTAGTGCTATTATATGCACAACTGATAAACTTCTCGAACACAGAGAAAAGAAAACCATCTCCAGCTAGGATTCTGTTGCCATGCTAGGTCATGTTTGTACAGAACTGTCATACAAAAGAAGGGATGCTTTAAAACCTTTCTCACATCAGGATTTTCGTCCAGCATGTGCTAGAAACACAAAACCAGGGAAACTCCTGTTTGGGGATGATTTACCTAAAACACTTCAAGAATTGAGAACTACTAGTAAGGTCATGACCAAAAACAGTTTTGATGCCAGATAGTACAAGCAAAATACTGGCCATCCTAATCAAGACAATAACAGATATCAGCAGAAGCCTTTTTTAGTGAACAGAGGGAGGATTTTCAATCCTCCCAGATCAAAACCAACTCAGGGCTCGACCCCCTTCAAGAGAAAGTTCACAAAGACTTAGAGGATTTAACAACTCAGGCAAGGAATTTTCCAAGGTATGATAGGGATCATCTGTTACCTTATCTTAGGCTGCAAGTAAAGTCCTTTAGAGCTGGCCAGGTATCCTTATTTTATGAGAAATGGATGCAATTGACATCAGATCCTCATATTTTGCATACAATTGTAGGCCAAACACTTGAGTTTTCTTCCCATCCTTTTCAGCAATAATATCCTCCCAATTCAATCTGTAAAGACCACATTGCCCTTGTTGAGGCAGAAATTTCCTCATTAAAAGAAAAGGAAGTTATAGTCCAATGTCATCATGAGTTAGGGGAAATTATATCTCCTATATTCTCAGTTCCTAAGAAAGATGGTAATGGGAGACTTGTCTACAATTTAAGAAAGTTGAATTGTTTTGTTGAAAACTCACATTTTAAAATGGATTCCATCCATACCATTTTGAAACTTGTCACACCAAATTGCTGGATGGCCAGTTTGGACGTAAAAGATGCATATTATTGTGTTAAGATCCATCCTGATTTCCAAAAAATTTTAAAATTCTCCTACAAGGGCACCCTATACAAGTACACAGCCTTCCCAAATGGTCTGTGCATCTGCCCAAGAATGTTCACTAAGATGATGAAACCCCCGTTAGCTTTTTTGAGACAATGTGGCCTTCCCAAATGGTTTGTGCATCTCCCCAAGAATGTTCAATAAGATGATGAAACCCCCGTTAGCTTTTTTGAGACAATGTGGTCATATCATATGTGGGTATATTGATGATCTATATCTGCAACGCAAAACCCAGCAGAAGTGCATAGCCAATGTAATCGCTACCATCAGACTGTTTGAAAGCCTTGGACTTGTCATACATCCAGAGAAATCAGTGATAGTTCTACAACAGCACCTTGTTTTTCTGGGTTTTATCATTGATTCTATCCAAATGACTATTAGTCTCACTAGAGACAAGATAACTAAGATAAAGACACATTTGGTTTGTCTCCTTAACAACCCTTTCTCTGTCAATATCTGGGGTGTGGCCAAAGTTATTCGTCACCTAATTTCCAGATTACCAGGTATCAAATATGGAGCCCTGTATTACAGAAATTTAGAAATGGACAATGTTGCTGCTCTAAAATTAGCCAAGGGGAGTTTTGAGGAGAAAATGTGCATCTCCCACAAAGGAATTTCTGAACTACACTGGTGGTTATGTAACCTTGAGAGCAGTTTTAATACCATATGTTGTCCCCCAGTAGAGGTAACTTTGTATTCAGATGTATCTCTCCAAGGGTGGGGTGCAGTTATGAATGATACATCAACAGGTGGGATGTGGCTACCCACAGAAAGCAGGCATCACATAAATTACCTTGAGTTACTTGCAGCATTTTTTGCTCTCCAGTGTTTCCATTCCTCCTTTTCTGGCAAACATGTTAAAATTATGGTTGATAATACCTCTGCTGTTTCTCAAATAAACAACATGGGTACATATCATAGTGAAGAATATAATTCTCTTGTAGTTCAGATCTGGGAATTCTGCATTTCACACAACATCTGTTGGCTTATAGCTGCCCATATTCCTGGTTCCTCCAATGAAATTGCAGATGGTGAATCAAGGCATTTCCATTCCCAAGATACCGAATAGATGCTCAACCCTGAAATTTTGACTAAAGCCCTCAAGACCCTTAACTTTAGCCCAGAGATTGATTTATTTGCTTCTCGATTAAATAAGCAATTGCCTATTTTTTGCTTATTCAGACCAGACCCAGGAGCATCATTAATAAATGCTTTTACTATTTCATGGTCTGTTAAAAAGGTCTACTGTTTTCCCCCTTTCAGCTGTATCTTACAGGTGCTACAGAAAATCATTCAGGATCAGGCAACTTGTGTGGTAGTGGTTCCTGACTGGCTCACTCAAGCATGGTACCCTCTACTGACATCTCTCCTCAAACTTCCTCCAGTCAAGCTTCTCCCCTCAAAGAATCTACTGAGACTACCAGCAATGCCAACAACTGTACATCCTCTTCACAAAAACAGGACTCTTCTTATTTGTCTACTCTCTGTCAACAACTTAAAGGACTAGGATTCACTGACCAAGCCATCAAAGTTATCTCTGCCTCATGGCGTGGGGGAACAACCAATCAGTACCCGAGTTTATTACGAATCAACTTAAAGGCCTGCTCCCAGTTGGCTTGTTAGCTCAATTGGTAGAGCGCTGCACTAGTATCGAAGAGGTCAGTGGTTCCAATCTCGTACAGGCCTGATTTTTTTCAGGTCTGATTTTCGCTATTGCATAAATAGCGCTATCTACTGCGAAGGATCGTGCATCATACGTATTTAATACCGCAGTTCAAAATATATGAACTTCATATATTCATTGTATCTGATTTATCATCACGGGTTTATTACGGATCAACAGCACTGACTGCTGAGTGGCAGACGCCAGTATGTGAATATAGACGGACACCATTCTACCCAAAGGGCCTTAACATTGGGAGTCCCACAAGGCAGCATATTAGGTCCAATCTTGTTCCTTGTTTTTATTAATGATCTACCTGCAACACTTCAGCACTCCGTGGCTGATATTTATGCTGACGACACAACTATTAGCTACTCCACCCATTATACGACGGCTCCTAATGATATCTCGGTCGGCCTTCAGACGGATATTGATGAAATCTTGAATTGGTCAGCTGACAACAGAATGATCCTTAATGAAACCAAAACCAAATCTATGCTTGTCACTGGTAAACGGTTAGCCAAGAAAATGGAACAGTCCACCCTGCAGTTAAACGTTAATTCTACTGAACTTGAACAAGTGAACTCGCATAAACTATTAGGTGTCACGATTGACAGCCAGCTTACTTTCGACCAACATGTCGAAAATCTATGCACGAAGTTATCGCAGAGAATTGCCGTGCTGCGAAAAATAAGACGCTTTTTGCCCATTGATCAAAGGAAACTTTATTATAATGCTATGATCAAGCAGACAATGCTTTATGCATCAACCATATGGACATCTTGTTCTGCTGAGAATTTGCAGAAAGTCTTTAAACTTCAGAAACGCGCGGCACGTGTAATTCTCGGAGCTGACACTAAAGCGAATAGCGTACAACTGTTTAGGAAATTGGATTGGGTTCCATTCTTTCATGAGGCAAAAGTAAATAGGTCACTAATGGTGTACAAACGATTGTCTGGGGACTGTCCACCTTATATGTCCCAAATGCTCGTAAGAAATGCAGACATAAATGAAAGATCAAGCAGACATGGACAACTAAACCTCGTCTGTCCCCGATTCAAACGGGAGTCAGAGGGAGGTAGGTCTTTCACAGTATCGACCTCACGCCTCTGGAATACCTTACCACTGGACATAAGAATGAAACCTACTATCAAATGTTTTAAGAAGGCCATGTTAGATTTTTTTAAGAATAGTTATAAACGATTAGAACATTTTATCTTATAGTTTTTATAAACTTTGTAATTTTAGATTTTTAGCTCTTGATCTTTTTCCATAATTAATTAATTTTTAATCTTTTTCAATAATTATTTGTAATATATTTTAAGAGGGCCACTGGTTTGTCAGTTTTATACTGTTATGTGTTTTACCCTCTTTAAATAAAGTTGATTATTATTATTATTATTTTTATTATTATCGCAGAGGTCAGTGGTTCGAATCCCGCACAGGCCTGATTTTTTTCAGGTCTGATTTTCGCTATTGCATAAATAGCACTATCTACTGCGAAGGATTGTGCATCATACGTATTTAATACCGCAGTTCAAAATATATGAACTTCATATATTCACTGTATCAAAGACACTGTTACCTCAGTGGGTTGGTCAAATGAGATTACTTTCCAACATTACTATCTTAAACCAGTCAACAATGCATTCAATTTTGGTGACCCGATTCTGTGTTTGGCTGACACCAACAAGTGATCTTACTCAAAAAATTTTTTCGTAAAATTTGACTCTTCTTTTATTATGAGTTGTGTTAACATTATCATGTTGTATTACACAAGTGTTGCGCTTGCTGGCAACTAATAAACCATGGTCATATAATGTTTAGATAGTTTTTTGAAATACAATTTCTTCTAATGATGCCTCTATGATTGCTCTAAAATCTTGTACCAGTCCCCTCATGACCTGGGCTGATGATGAAATAGAATTGGAAATTAAACGAGACTTACCTGTAAGTTGAAGTTTGATTGTAATTCTATGAGTCATCGGCCAAGAGTGTAGAGAGTGGTACGCCCACCCTATTTGCGGTTTATATCCCCACCCGGTGTGGTATGTCAATCATCGAGGAAATCATTGGGCCCTCTAAAGCCTGGTTGATGCATTGCACTACTCTCTCTAGTACCACTCCCTACACTCCTGGCTGACTCATAGAGTTACAATCAAACTTCAACTTACAGGTAAGTCTCGTTTAATTTCCAATTGTGTAAGTGTTTTG